TTCCTTAGGATCAATCGGGGATCACCAGTGGACCTCTGACACTCTCCTCTCACTCTCGCCTCCTCCTCCTCACTTGCCCTCTACGATAGCCTCTAGCTTTGCTCATAATTGTTAACTTTAAACTATTGCTTCTTGAACTTGTGCTCATAATGTGTGGTGACATCGTGATCCACCCTGAGCTTGTACTGCTTTGCTTGCTCTGCTGATTACACCCCACTTTGGCTATGGGGGTGTGTCAAAATATTATGCTCTAGCCTGTAGTGGGGTGCTCCATAGCGAGTACAACCCTTCTAGGGTTTGCTATTTGTATCCCCATTCTTGCTAGTTCAACCCTCTTCTTTCTTCTAACTTTTCACACCTACGGCCCGGCTCCGTCGCCCTACCTACGGCACCGCCCCCCCCCCCCCCCCCCCCCCTTTTCTTGTCGCCTGTCGAGGCGACCTGGGGGGTGGCGGGTGTGTAGTCTCCCCTGCTCCTCCTCCTCCTCTGTCTCCCACTGCTGCAGCTACCGCTGAGGGGGGTGGGTGTGTGGGATTCGACGGAGTGGTGCTAGGGGGTGGGGTGAGAGTGGAGCTAGGGGTGTAGCAGCGGGTGTGTGTCAGGGGGAGTGGGATCGTTTGGGGAAGCTATATGGAGGTTGCCGTCGTGTCGCCAGCAGCACCTGTATTCCGGGGACTTCGTCCGGTAGCCCAGTCCTAGCCAGCTGTGCCAGCCGCCCGTGGGTCCGTTGCTCGTCTGCCGCTACTTTAGCCGCGTGGCCTGTTACTCCTGTATTCCGGGGACTTCGTCCGGTAGCCGCTGTGCCAGTCTGCCTCCTGTTGCCCGTGTGTCTGCAGCTTCATCCGTCGCCTCCTATCTCCTCTCCTCTCACTCTCTCTCCTCCTCCTCACTTGCCCGTTGTGACTACCTCTAGCTTTGCTCATAATTGTGAACTTTAAACTATTGCTTCGTGAACTTGTGCTCAGAATGTGTGGTGACATTGTGATCTACCCTGAGCTTGTTCTGTTTTGCTTACTCTACTGATTACACCCCACTTTGGCTATGGGGGTGTGTCAAAATGTTATCTTATGCTCTAGCCTGTAGTGGGGTGCTCTATAGCGAGTACAACCCTTCTAGGGTTTGCTATTTGTATCCCCATTCTTGCTAGTGCAACGCCCTTCTCTCTTCTTTCTTTCTAACTTTCACAGCCATTATCTCCGATACTCAGATTTTGCCTGAGCGCGTTCTCAGGTGTAATCACCAACGTGGACTTTCTCAACGTTGATTCGTCATCGCTTTATAGTCATATTTCTCAAACAGGTCGAACTCATTAAAAGGTGACAAAAACAGAACCATCCAGTTTACCCTCCGGATTTGGATATAAGAACGGAAATTTAGTGCTCGGTAGTGCTCGGTAGCGCAACCGACCGCTAAACAAAGCTACCGAAAGCACCAGACGACGCTACCGAGAACTATTCGGGCATGGCAGAAAAAACAAATCAAAACCCATACGGAACCTGGATGCATTTTCGAGAGGGGTCAACCCTAAACACGGGAATGGGAATTGTTTTTAGGTTTGATGCCTCCCGAGTCGCATCCCTTTCCGATTGGGTTTTTTTTTTTTTGGTCAAGTGGGTTGCAATATGTTTTCCAAAATATTTGGCAGCTTTCGGTATTTAGGGTTGATCCTTCCCGGAAATCATCTAGGCTCGCTACGGGTTTTTTTTTTTTTTTTTTTTTTTTTTTGCAAGCGGTGCAATTACTTTTTTGAGTGACAGTTCATAATTACCAGACAGAAAAGCTTCCTACTACTATATCGCAAACCCGTGTTTCTTTTGGTGATTACACCTGAGAACGCGCTCAGACAAAATTTGAGTATCGGAGACAATGGCCGGGCAAACATCTGATTCAGGCCAAGGAGGGAATTGGCGTACAGTTCTGCTTGATTTTGTCCCGGGGCTTTCCACAAATCGGCGCTGCCTTGTGGCTCGGTATGTGAAAAGTTTAGAAGAAAAGAAGAGAGAAGAGAGGTTGAACTAGCAAGAATGGGGATACAAATAGCAAACCCTAGAAGGGTTGTACTCGCTATGGAGCACCCCACTACAGGCTAGAGCATAATATTCTGACACACCCCCATAGCCAAAGTGGGGTGTAATCAGCAGAGCAAGCAAAGCAGTACAAGCTCAAGGTGGATCACAATGTCACCACACATTCTGAGCACAAGTTCAAGAAGCAATAGTTTAAAGTTAACAATTATGAGCAAAGCTAGTGGTAGTCACAACGGGCAAGTGAGGAGGAGGAGAGAGAGTGAGAGGAGAGGAGATAGGAGTGACGGATGAAGCTGCAGACACACGGGCAACAGGAGGCACACTGGCACAGCGGCTACCGGAACAACGCTCCGGAATACTGGAGTAACTGGCCCCGCGGCTAAAGTAGCGGCAGACGAGCAACGGACCCTGTCAGAGGTCCACTGGTGATCCCCGATTGATCCTAGGGAAGGGTTACAGGCACGTTGGCCTGGGGGGTTATGGGCGCACTGACCCGCTACTTAAACAAGCCCTTTTATCCCAATGGTCTAGTGGTTGGGATTCTGACAGACCCACGGGCGGCTGGCACAGCTGGCTACGACTGGGCTACCGGACGAAGTCCCCGGAATACAGGTGCTGCTGGCGACACGACGGCAACCTCCATTCAGCTTCCCCAAACTATCCCACTCCCCCTGGCACATACCCGCTGCTACACCGCTAGGGTCACTCACACCCCACCCCCTAGCACGACTCCGTCGACTCCCACACACCCACCCCCCTCAGCGGTAGCTGCAGCAGTGGGAGACAGAGGAGGAGCAGGAGCAGGGGAGATCACACACCCGCCACCCCCCACTCGCCACCCCCAAACCCGAACACAGGGTAGGGCGGGATGGCGGGTAGGGAGGTTACGGGGGGGAGGGGGGGGGGGGGGGGCGGGGGCGACGCGCGGCCTCCCTGGGCGCCAAAGTAGGCGGCAGAAGAGGCGAGGCTCGCCCCCACCCCCACGCACGCGGCCCCCTCAGGTCGCCTCGACAGGCGACGGGAAAAGAGGGGGGGGGGGGGGGGGGGGGCGGTGCACGTGCCCCCGGTGCGCCGCGGCTGACGACGATGCATGGCCGGGGCGGGGCCGGGGCCGCAAGTGGCGGCGACGGGGCCGTTGGCGGCGACGACGGGCCGATGCGGGCGGGGACGGGGTCGTTGCGGGCGGCGATGGGGCCGCTGCGCGTGGCGACGGGGCCGCTGCGTGCGGCGACGAGCCCGCTGCGGGCGGCGACGGGGCCGATGCGGGCGGCGACGGGGCCGATGCGCGGGTCCCTGTCGCCCGTCGCAGCGCCTCCCGAGGGCGACGCGCCGAGTGACGGGGCAGAAGCCCGCCGCGCGCCTCGGGGCGCACAGCGGGCAGAGAACCGCCGCGCGCCTCGGGGCGCACGGCGGGTAGAAAACCGCCGCGCGCCTCGGGGCGCACGGCGGGAAGAAAAAAAACTGCCGCACGCCACGGGGCGTGCGGCACAGCGAGTAGCAGTAGCAGTTGCAGCGGAAGCAACGAGGTGGTGAGCCCACCCACAGGATCGATCCAAGGGGATCGACCTGCTCTGATAGCATGTGAAAATTTTAGAAGAAAAGAAGAGAGAAGAGGGGTTGAACTAGCAAGAATGGGGATACAAATAGCAAACCCTAGAATGGTTGTACTCGCTATGGAGCACCCCACTACAGGCTAGAGCATAATATTTTGACACTGTACACCAATCACAAGCCCCGCTACGGCGTTGTCTTGGGCCTCAGGTCAGGTCAGTCAGGGTCGCACGCACTTAGCTACTGTACACATGTACTGTTCTGAATTTCCGAATCAGGAGCAAGACCAAATTTCCGAGCAGAGCAGGCGAGGCGCGATGAGATGAGCCTCTTGCCAGGTGCCTGCACTTGAAACAGCTTAGGGAAGACGAGATGCTAGATTTAACCGTGTTAAAGCCCAACACCCGAATTACAAAGCCCATCACAAACTGGGCCCAGTTTGTGCACCCGCACCTGAGTTGTGACTGCACCCGCACCTGGATGGTTACCCGGTTTGCAGCTGGTGCTTTCGGGAGAACAAGGAAAGCCACCAGCCCATATATACGCAGGTAGAACTTGGGTCCAGTTTTCTTGTAATTCGGGAAGAGTGGACAGCCATTCCCCGTAGATTATTGCTTAGTCCACTCATCATGCTCGCTACCACCTGCATCCCTGGTGAGATACTCTCCTATAGCGCGTGCAACATAGTCGACCTATTATTCAGGCGTCCACCGTCAGATTCCGGGAATTTTACAAACGAATTTGTACTGTCTTATTCGGCGCGAAACTAGGTACACTAGGGTTCAGACTGTGAATCTCGGATGCGATTCGTAATCCGCTCGCAGGTCACGCGCATATTATCCAACATCAGTCCTGCGCAGTCACAGGCACCGTCACTTCAGTAAACAGATGATGCAATTAGAAACTCGGGAACTTATCGCGGCTTCTTCCGCGAGCGCGGAAATGCGGTGTGGCATTCTGTTACTACGAAGCCATCGCATAACCGTCGCACCTCCCCGTCGCATTACCGAGCTAGGTCGCGTCCCCTACCGTCGCCTTTCCACCACCGCACCTCCTCCCCCGCAGTTCCTCCCAGTCGCTATTTCCCCCCGCCACAATTCCTCTCCGTCGCAAATTTCCGCTGGCGCAAATCCTTTCCCGTCTCAACTCCGCCCCGTCGCATTTCCTCCCCGTCGCATTCTCTCCATGTCGCATTTCCTCCCTGTCGCATTTTCGACCCTGTCGCATTTTCTCCCTGTCGCATTTCCTCCCTGTCGCATTTTCTCCCTGTCGCATTTCCTCCCTGTCGCATTTCCTCCCTGTCGCATTTCCTCCCTGTCGCATTTTCTCCCCGTCTCATTTTCTCCCCGTCGCATTTCCTCCCTGTCGCATTTCCTCCATGTCGCATATCCCTAACACACGCGCCGTCCCCCTCCGTTGCCCATGCTCACCCCCCTCCGTCGCCCACGCTCACTTCCCGATTGTCGCCGACGCGCACTCCCCTCCGTCACAGACGCGCATCCCCTCCGTTGCCTAGAGTCACTCCCCTTCATCGCCACGCTCACTCCCCTCCGTCCCACATGCTCGCCCATGCTCACCTTTGATTCCACACGTCCTCTCCCATCTCCGCCTCCCCAAATCTCCGCCTCATCCCAGCTCCGCCTCACCCCATCTCCGCCTCTCCCCATCTCCGCCTCTCCCTATCTCCGCCTCAACCCATCTCCGTCTCACCTCATCTCCCCCTCATCCCATCTCCCCCTCACCTCATCTCCGCCTTACCTCCTGTCTGCCTCATCCCTTCTCCCCCTCACCTCATCTCCGCCTCACCTCATCTCCCCCTCATCCCATCTCCCCCTCATCCCATCTCCCCCTCACCTCATCTCCGCCTCACCTCATCTCCGCCTCACCTCATCTCCGCCTCACCTCATCTCCACCTCACCTCATCTCCGCCTCACCTCGTCTCCGCCTCACCTCACCCGTCGTTCATCTCTGCCTCATCCCTTCTCCCCGGACCTCATCTCCCCCTCATCCATCTCCCCCTCACCTCATCTCCCCCTCACCTCATCTCCGCCTCACCTCATCTCCCCATCATCCCATCTCCCCCGCATCCCTTCTCCCCCTCACCTCATCTCCCCCACAACTCATCTCCGCCTCACCTCATCTCCACCTCATCCCATCTCCTCCTCATCCCATATCTGCCTCCCTCTTCCAAACCCATGCTCTCCCCATCCCTCCTCTCCCATGCCTCCACTCCCCATCCATCCTGTCCCCATCCCTCCTCTCCCGACTCCTCCTCTCTCCTTGTGGTGCAACTCAAGACACACGAGCGCCTCCCTCATCTCTGCTCCCGTAGCCTCTCCCCATCCCTCCTCTATCCATCCCTCCTCTACCCATCCCTCCTCTACCCATCCCTCCTCTGCCCATCCCTCCTCTACCCATCCCTCCTCTGCCCATCCCTCCGCTGACCCCACCCCTCCTCTCCCCATATCTCCTTTCCCCATCCCTCCTCTTCTGATCCCGCCGCTTCCCATCCCTCCTCTCCCAATTCCGCCACTCCCAATTCCTCCTCTCCCAATCCCTCCCATCCCACTTCGTCCGCCCCTCATCCATCCTGTCCCCGTCCGTCATCTCCCATCCCTCCTCACTGCATCTTTCTCACCCCTCCTCTCCCATGCCCCCACTCCCCTCCATGCTTTTCCTAACCCTCATCTCTCCATCTAGCCTGTCCCCATCCCTCCTCTCCCAATTCCTCCTCTCTCCGTCCCTCAGCTTCCGACTCCTCCGCTCCCCATCCCTCCGCTCCCCATCCCTCCGCTCCCCATCCCTCCACTCCCCACCCCTCCACTCCCCATCCCTCCACTCCCCATCCGCCTCATCCCATATCCGACTCATCCCATATCCGCCTCACCCCATATGCGCCTCACCCCATATCCGCCTCACCCCATATCCGCCCCACCCCCTCGCATCCCACTCTTCCCCACTCTCCCCCACTCTCCCCCACTCTCCCCCACTCTCCCCCACTCTCACCCACTCTCCCCCACTCTCCTCCACTCTTGCCCCTCTCTTCCCATTTGAGCACAGCGTTCCTTATGGTTTTCCCCAGCAAATGATGGAGCCCATTCCCTAATCCCCAAGCTACATCCCTTCCCCTTCTCCCCTTCTCTCCTCTGTCCAGCCATGCAGTGGCATCACACTTCAACGGCCGCGTTCTCTTGTTACCACCTCTCCCCATCCCCTTTCCAGCCCATCCCCTTCTCTCCCCATCCCCACTTCTCCCCATCCCCTTCTCTCCCCATCCCCACTTCTCCCCATCCCCTTCTCTCCCCATCCCCTTTCCTCCCCATCCCCTTCTCTCCCCATCCCCACTTCTCCCCATCCCTCTTTCCTCCCCATCCCCTTCTCTCCCTATCCCCACTTCTCCACATTCCCTTCTCTCCCCAGCCATTTCCAACCCCACCCACATCCCTTCAACGCCTTCCAAGTGTCGCCCTACCACCCCTCCTCCCTACCTTTGTTGGCCCTCACTTCTCTTTGCCTATGCCTTTCCCCCCACCCCTCACTTTATCCCTCTGTGTAGTAACATCCCCCGTCATGGTTGACTTCTCCCGTGCCCCTGTGCTTATTTGCGCCTTGCACCTTCCCACTGGTTCCCGCCTTCTCAGGACCCCACACTCTCTTGCTGCTGAAAGCAATCGGGTCCTGTCCTCAGGGGCCAGGATTAAATCCCCTCATCTCCCTCACCCCTCCTCCGCCCCACCCCATGTCAACATCACCCCAGCTGTGCTGTGCCTCGCATTCCCAGCTGTACATGAAAGGCGACATGCTGCGTGCACCCTTTGATGCTGCGTGCCCATCGCCACTGCTTGCACCGTCACATTTCAACTGCGACGCATATGAGTAGAAGTTGGGGACACTCATCATTGGCCCATCGTACATTGGGTAGTATGCAAGGAGACCCTGTGACACATTTGCGTGTATTTATTTTGCTCTGTTTCCATCCTGTGTCGTGGTACATGCTTCAAACCTGGTGATGTTTACCTCCCATCTCATCGAACAATGCAGTCTAATACTAGTTGGCAAATATAAACACAAACACGAGTTTGATGCCCATGGGTGCCAGGTCAGTAAGAAATACAAAAAGGAGGAGAGTGTGTGTGTAGGTGTGCTGATGTGCAAATCAGCCAATTAGATGCTTGGAGCCCGGAAGGACACACCAAGTGTCCAAGGGGCCTGAAGCTGCTTCTCCCGTATATGTTGCAACACTACCTTGCCATGCCCATTGCCATTGATGCCTATCCGTGCCCGTGTTGCTGGCTCTCATGTGACCTGCGACACGGGCACGAGGTAGGATGTGTAGTTCGGAAGGCACCCCACCTGCATCACAAGCAACGTGATGAAGGAATGCAATGTGGGGGCTATGGATGATAAATATGAAACAAGTATGGGATGCAGTGGGAAGGTGGCTTTGACGGTGGAAGTCTGTGCGGAGGGGTATGCACCCCACCTGCAAGAGAATTTTGACTTGAGAGATGAGGGGTATGAAAACACGGGTGGGCTGTGATGGAAGAGGCCGCATGAACGTATGCGACATATTCAGGCAAGAAAACAAGGCATGAGTGGGTGAAAAGGGTGGCAATATTGGCTGTGCACCTGCAAGATATGGGGAAATGAGATGGGTGGGGGTGGTGATGGTAGGGGAGGAAAGGGAAGACAAGGCATGCTGATAGGGCAAGTCGGTGGAGGGTTACCTCCAAGACATTCGTGTATTGGCCTCGTGGCTGCTGGTTAGGGCCAATGGTACTACATCTGAAATTAGATGCAGATGAGGATGACGGCAAGGAAGGAATGGGAAGGCAAAGCATGCTGACAGTGCAGCTGAGAGCAGGGAAAGTGAGATCCTCGCAGGTTCAGATGAGGCATAGAGCATAACCTGGTGAGGCGCCTGCTACAAGACCCGGGTGCATTGGCCTTGTGGCTGCCGATTAGGGTCTTGTCGGGGCCAACCCCCCCTCAATCCCCCCTCTGCAGGTGCAATGTCGCCTCCTCTCCTGCATTTGGGGTGGGTTTAGATTAGAGGTGCTATGCAATGTATCTGCCTAATGTATCCCACAAATGACTGTAGGCATGGAATTTTCAACAACAAGGTAATATCCAACTCACCGAGTATGCTGCGACGAGCTCCACGCCCTCTAGAACGGGTCGACGGATGTAATGGCCCAGTCACAATCGGGGTTACCAGTTGTAATACTCCAGAGCCGTCCCCACCTCCCGCTAGGGTCTCCGGCAAAGGTGAGGATGGAGCCGGTGGTGAAGCGTGCCCGCTCATATCTTGTTGTGGCCCTATTTCGGCTCCATCGGCTAACCCTCCAACACTCTCAACTTCTTCCCCAAACGGGCGTCGCCGCTCCCTCAAGATGTCGTCGACCCAACTCCAGTCCATTAAACCAAGGACTCTATCTCTCCGCCCTCGTCTAACCCGCGTCGTCTGCCTGGCGCGCGTAACATACGCTCGCACAACACGATCCATCGTGTTATTCCAATGAAGAGCAGCCATAGCTATGCGCGGAGGATAGCTACGTGAAAAGCGAATGCGTTTCGGTGCGTATTTTAAAATCAGTGAGTGGAAAGACTCGTTCATGGAGTTAGTTGCGCCCTCCACTATACACGCAACCTTTGCTGGACTGAAGTGCTTTTCTAACCACTCCTTCACCGCGATATGAGTCCGTGAGTTAGGTTGATACACCGCCTCCGCCTCATCCCAGTTTTCTGTCACACATCTTGGCGCACACGTTCCACCCCTCCCGCATCGTGAGTGAAGGCCAGCAAAGTGGTCCGCTGCTAGACACAATTCTTCCGAAACATCTTCGGCCGACCGCGGGTGCCCCGCTCGAGCGCACACTCCGCAACGCATCATGCTATGGTAGAAGTGCACAGCAAGATGGTCAGTAACAGTGGACGCCTTCACCCTAGCCCCTATCTCACTCTCATTGGCCACCCCTCCAGCGGCCCCGTTTTGTGATCGCCTGCGTGGTGCGCGCCGTCCCCACCTCCTGTGGATCGGTTCGTTCCCGCCATTCTCCATGTCGTCACCGTCGTCCTGCCTGTTTGCTGCTTCTTCGTTCCCGGCTGCGGTACCAGGCCTCGCCTCAGCCCCACTTTGCTCTTGACCGCCTATGTTGGGATTGGCAAGGGTACAACGTCGGAGGGTTGTAGTGTGGAAGCACAATCCCTAATGGCTGTAGGGAGGAGGGAGGCTAAAGGCTTGAGGATGGAGGGATGGGGGGGACACTGAGAAGAGAGCTTACTCCACCTTACATATTTACCTTGCCTGTCAGTGCCGTCGTCCTGCCTGTCTGCTTGTTCTTCGTTCCCGGCTGCAGTACCAGGCCTCCCCTCAGCCCCACTTTGTCCTTGACCGCCTATGTTGGATTACAGGTTGTAAAGGAAGAAGATGCACACTGATACTCCACATGACACTAGGCGTAGGTGGGTGACATAATGGAAATGCATAGCCCAACAGAATGTAAGAATGATTGCAGTAGGAAAGGCTTGAGGATTGAGGCTAGAGGATGGAGGGATGGGGAGGGGAGCGAGATGAGAGCCTAATCTATGTGTATTTACCTTAATCATCAGTGTCGTCATTCAGGAAATGAGCACGCGGCCGGTCCCCCCCCCAAGCCTGCACGAGCACCAATGATGCAAGCGAAGATGGTCGAATACCATGTATCGGGTGCGCATCATAGCCCCACATCTCCTCCACCTCTGCCCACTGTACTTCGATTACGGTTGCTCCGTCATTTATAACAGCCGGTGTCCTCGCTGCACTGCCTCCTACCCCCCCGTGTACTCGAGATGCACGCACATGATCCGGCTGTGGTGCTTCTTCCACCTCAATGTCAACAGGTGCTGCACTGCGATCCGGCTCCAGCACCACTTGCTGCAACGAGGATGCCCACAGGGGGAATGAGATGAGAGTGAGCAGGGGAGAAATGAGATGAGTGTTCCATGAAAGAGAGTGAGCAGGGCCCGAAATGGGATGAGTGTAGGGTCAGAGAGGGAGTCAGCAGGGGGGAAATGGGATGAGTGAAGGGGGAATGAAAGTGAGCAGGGGGGGTGTGGGATGAGCGAAGGGGTTGAGAGTGTGGAGGGGGGACCTGGGATGGGCGACGGGGGAATGAGAGAGGAAGGATAGAAAATGAGAAGCGGGGAAATGGGGTGAGCAAAGGGGAAAAGCAAGTGAGTAGTGTGAAATGGGGGAAAGTGAGGGAGCAGGGGGGAAATGGGGTCAGCGGAGGGGAAAAGCAAGTGAGTAGAGTAAAATGGCTGGAATGAAGGGGGAAAGAGAGGGAGCAGGGGGGAAATAGGGCGAGTGAAGGGGGAAAGGCCGTGAGCGGGGGGGAAATGAGAAGGGGGAAGGGGGGGAAAAGGCGACCACGGAAAAAAGTGGAGTGTGAAATGGGGTGCGTGTTGGGGGACAGAAAGTGAGGTGATGTAACGGGAGAAAAGTGGAAGGCGAAATGGTGGCGTCGGGAATGGGTAATGTAACGATGAGGGGACATGCGCGCGTCGCGGATGTGAAATGGTCCCGCTGCGAAGGAAAAGGCTCGCGCCGGGATGAGGAAATCTGTTTCCTGGGAAGGGGAAACGCGCTCGACGAGTTTGGGAAATGCGAGCGCCGGGTAGGGGAAACGCGCGCGACGAAATTAGGAAATGCAGGCGGGGGGGTTTGAAAATGCAGGCGACGGCGCCCGGAAATGCGGGCGACGGTTAGGAGAGTGGCGGGCGACGGTAAAGGGAATTGTAATGAGACGGGAAGGGCCATTGCCGGGATTGTACCTAAAATGCCCCCGTTTTCCCTATCGCATTTACATTTCCTGCTTACCGTCCCCCCGTCCGACTCAATCTGCTCTCTTCATTCTCCGTGCCCAAGGTAAGCATTTGCACCATCTGTTCCTGTCGTGGTGCTCTTTGAGGTCTAAGAACCTAATTACTAGAGTCTAGTTATGTGGTGCGCTGGTGGTGGAGGTTTGTCGAGGTGGTTTCTCCCAAATACGTTGCTGTCAAGTTGGGTTGCGTTCGTTTGCCCGGTAGCGACACAAGGTTGTCGGACTGTGTTTTCGCCAACAAGGAGCTTTCGCGATTCATCCGAACCTCATTTTGCCTCACCCACAAACCAGAAAATCCAAGCGTTGACTTTGTTTGAGTAATTCAGGTGTCGCCCTTTAAATCGCGTTGTCCAACCAGAACCTGTTGACATCCAAAGGCCTCCTGAACCTTCATGACGGAATCTTCATGACCACCTCCAGGTTTAGACCAAGGACAATGACGAGACGATCGTGAGAAAGAACGTCTTGTACCCTTAAATTATCTAATCAGAACAAACATAAAATGCAATAACACCGTACTTGTAAGGAATTTTCTCGATATTCCTTAGCGCACCCTGCAACACTGCGTACAGCAGCAGCCGTTGTTCGCATGTTATTGCTAACGGGGCTTCGCCGACTTTGCGCGCACTGTTTTCCCAAACCTCGCCCTGCTGGACCGGTCGTGTCGGCCTACGCTTCGGGACTAGCCCGAGCCTCGCTTCCAGCGTAGCACTAGCTAGCTCGCACGCACCGCGTTACCGTTTGCATGCTTCGCGTATAAATGTTCGCTCATGCCTTCGCTCACATTTTGTACTCGTTTGACACCTTAGTGCAATTCTCGCTACTTCGATTCATTGCACCCGTAACACTTGGTTATCAGAGCCTCTTTCTTTCGGACCGCGCATCTCCGCACCCCAGGAAATCAACTTTTGATTTTTCACTTGAAGGGACTCACGCACCTTAGCACCTAGAGCCACTGTCCTCGTGTTGTCTCGTAAACGCGTGCAGCCACGACTGCGCCTAGACTAAGACGAGC